AACCCAATCATAAAATGGATAAAGACCTGAATGAACATTTCACCAAAGAGGACATTCAAATAGCAAAAACACATGGAAAGATGCTCAGTGTCATTAGCTATCCCACTGCCGTCAAGTCAGACCCAATTCATAGTGACCCCTCCTTGGGTTTCTGAGGCGGTATTTTCTACGGAAGTAGATTGCCCAACCTTCCTTCCAAGGAGTGGCTGGTGGGTTTGAACCACCAGCCTTCTGCTTAGCAGTCAAATGCCTTAGGCACTATGCCACCATAGCTTGCTCATTAGCTATCAGAGAGATGCAAATCAAAACCACAATGAGATATGATTATACTCCTACTAAGACAGCTAAGTTTTTCAAAAGAAAAAAAAAAAACAGAAAATAACAAATGTTGGCAAGTATGTGAGCAAATTGGAGCCTTACCTACTGCTATTGGGATGAAAAATAGTCCTCAAAAACATAAAATAAAACTACCAGTTGTTGTTGTTGTTAGGTGCCATCAAGTCAGCTCCAACCTAGAGTGAACCTATGTACAACAAAACAAAACACTGCCTGATACTGTGCCATCCTCCCAATCCATGCTACTATCATTGCAGCCACTGTGTCAATCCATCTCGTTGAGGGTTTTCCCCTTTTTCACTGACCCTCTACTTTACCAAACATGGTATCTCTCCCCAAGGAATGGTGCCCTCTGACAACATGACCAAAGTAGGTGAGACAAAGTCTGGCCATTCTCGCTTCCAAGGAGCATTCTGGGTGCACTTCCTCCAGGACAGATTTGTTCATTCTTCTGGCAGTCCATGGTATATTCAGTATTCAAAGCCATCAGCTCCTCTTCATTTTTCCTTATTTATTGCATAGGCATTCACATGCACATGAGGCAAGTGAAAATACCATGGCTTGGGCTACATGCACCTTAGTCTTCAAAGTGACACCTTTGCTTCTTAACACTTGAAAAAGGTCTTTTGCAGCACACTGCCCAGTACAACACAACTTCTGATTTCTTGACTGCTGCTTCCATAGGTGTTGATTGTGGATCTAAAGAAAATTAAGTCTCTGACAACTTGAATCTTTTCTCCATGTATCATGATGTTGCTTATTGGTCTGGTTGTGAGGATTTCTGTTTTCATTATGTTGAGGTGTAATCCATACTGAAACTACCATATGATCCAGCAATTCTACTCTTAGGTATATACACAAGAGACTTGAAAGCAGAGATTCAAAAAGAGCCTTGTATACCAATATTCATTATAGTATTCACAAAAACAAAACATGGAAACAACATAAATGCCCATCAACAGATGAATGAATAAACAAAATGTGGTACATACATACAGTGGAACACTACTCAGCCAGTAGGAGAAATAAAGTCTTGATACATAGTACAACGGTACAGAGGTAGAAGACATCGTTTGTTGTTAGGTGCCATTGAGTCATCTCCGACTCACAGCGACCCTATGTACAGCTGAATAAAACATTGCCCGGTCCTGTGCCAGCTCCACATTCCCTTCTATATCTGAGTCCATCATTGCAGCCACTGTGTCAATCTATCTTGTTGAGGACCTTACCCATTTTCATTGACCCTTCACTTTACCAAGCATAATATCCTTCTCCAGGGAACAGTCAACCTTAGAACATAACTAAAGTAGGTGAGATGAAGTCTGGCCATTCTCACTTCCAAGGAGGATGCCAGCTGCACTTCTTTCAGGACAGACTTGTTAGTTCTTCTAGCAGTCCATAGTACTTTCAGCATTCTTCGCCAACACCACAACTCAAAAGGATCGACTCTTCCTCAGTCTTCCTTCTTCACTGTCCAGCTACACATGCATATGAGGCGACTGAAAATATCATGGCTTGTGTCAGGTACACCTTAGTCTTCAAGGAGATTATCTTGGCTCTTCAGCACTTGAAAGAGGTCCTTCACAGCCAATTTTCCCATTGCTATATGATATCCCTCATTCCATGTCCCCTTCTGAATCCAGCTGCATTTCTGGAAGTTCTCTGTCAATATACTGCTGCAATCATTTTTTGAATTATCTTCAGCAAGATTTTACTTGCACGTGATATTAATGATATTATTTAATAATTTCCACATTCTGTGGGATCACCTTTCTTTGGAATGGGTACAAATATGGATTTCTTCCAGTCATTTGGCCAGGTAGCTGTCTTCC